TTCTCAGCTACTTCATAGCTGGAGTCTGTCATTCGCATTTATATGGAGGCGGCAAAGGACCAGCGACCACGTCAGATCGTTCACTGTCTTTACATTAATGATGCAATGAATAAGCACATAACTGTGCCGATGACTTGGTGTCCTAGCTTCAATGTACTAGATCTGTCTTATAAGAGCTAGATGAGTCCAAATTGATTCTGTCTATCTTTTTACAGGCCCTTGATAGCCTCATCAAATACCGATTTCGTGGGCACTCTGGATACAGCGTGGTTGAGACAGGTGATTTTTCTTTGACCCTCAAAAAAGCAGATGGGACACAGGTAGACCTGCACGAAGACAATTCTGACACATGGCTCCATTTCATTGAGCCTGGAGTTATCATTACCATGGATATCCTTTTCAAGGACAAGAAATATGGAGAGCCCAACAGTATGATGTGCCCATCCTGTCATAATTCATGTATAAGAGGCTTTTTTGGGGAGTATGTTGAGTGGTATGTGGTGTACCAATACATTTTATGGTATTCGTTCTGACTTTTTGTTAGCCCTCAGTGTGAAACAGTGATTGAGAATTGGATGGTTCTTGATGGAGATGCACCATTGTATGTCAACCAAGACAAGGATAAAGTGGCTACACCTGCTATGCAGATCGGACCATTGGTCCCATCCAACTTGCCAGCAAATTTGAACAGTTCGAGCACAGAGGGATTGCGTGTGAATGATGACAACTATGATCATCCTTTACAATTATTTCGCCGTTTTCGGGTTACCTCACATGGTAATGAGATCCTCAATGTCATTCATACTGCAATTTATATGACTTTCATATCTCCAGTCTATCATGTACTGCCTACACTTCACTCTACAGCACTGGAAGGATCCTCAGACGCTGTTGGGCATCTGTTAGAAGACAATACCATTGTAAATACCACTAAAGGTAAGGATGTGCAATCTTGAAACCTCCTGGTCCTGGCTTCCACATTTGCAGATTACCATGGAAGAAGCCCACTTCACCTTGCAGCACTGAGAGGACACTTGAACACTGCTCAACTTCTATTGAATCACAATACTCATGTGGATGCTACAGGTGAGGGATGTACAGTTCTTCAAAATCATTGGCCTCACTTTCATGCTGGTAGATGAATGGGAAGAAACTCCGCTTCATACTGCAACAATACATGGACACTTGGACATCATTAAACTTTTATTAAATCACAATGCTGATGTGAATGCCAAAAGTAAGGATTAACAATCCTGTCGATCATTGACCTAACGTCTACACTTGCAGACAGATGGAGATCAACTCCACTTCACAAAGCAATTGCACATGGACACTTGAACGCTGCTAAGCTTTTGTTAAATTATGATGCTGATGTGCATTGCAAAGGTGAGGATACACAATCTTGAAAATTCTTGGCCTAAATTTCACACCTGCAGATAATCATAAAAGAACCCCACTTCACCTTGCAGCAAAGAGACCAAACTTGAATTTTGCTGAACTTTTGTTGAATTACAAAGCTGATGTGCATGCTAGAGGTGAGGATGTAGCACAATCCTGAAAATCCTTGTCTTGACTTCCAGACATGTAGATTACCAGGGAGCAACCCCACTTCATTGGGCTGTACGGCTTGGACACCTGAAGACTGTTCAATATCTTTTGAGTCATGATGCTGATGTCCATGCTACAAGTGAGGATTTGCAGTCTTGCAAATTCTTGGCCTGACTTTGCTCCTTGCAGACAACAGAGGAAAAACCCCACTTGACTATGCATGGTGCTATGACCACTCAACTGTTGCTAGTTTTTTGCTGGATAACATGAATACTCCAAGATGGTAAGGCTTAGGAGGGTTGTAACTTTTATTCTGTATTAGCTGACCCTCTCATGCATCCTTCCAGTAGTTGAATGATGGCATGATAGGGGAGTCATTCCCATCCAGAATATCACCACAGTGGAATATTTGGTACTTGTATATCAGTCCAGATTAATGCAAAACTTTGAGCGTTGTTATATCTAGTCTTGAGATCAGAAACAACAGTTCATCATGATATGCTCATGAGTACTTCTAGAATATGCTGCAGACTCTTCGATAGTAGGCCAAAGTGGATATGCAATTGTCAGACCATTGGAAACAATCAATGTTATTTACAATAGAGAAAATTGGTAAGGGGAGGATTAGTATAGATCTTCTTCGACCACCTTTTATTGTGAATAAGGTGTGGTCTATTCAACTTTCTAATGACGTCCAAATCTATGTCTAATGTACAATCAAAAACTCTCCGCCACGACGTCCAACGCCTGAGTCACATCCTGAATCAAATCCTCGACCTCCTCGACCCCCACACTCAACCTAACCAAATTGCCTCCAATCCCCAACACCGCCCGCTCCTCTTCCGGTACACTCCCGTGCGTCATCCTCGCCGGATGTTCCGCAAGACTCTCCACCCCTCCCAAACTCTCCGCAAGTGTAAACAGCTTCGTCGACGTCAAAAACTTCTCTGCCTCCCTCTCCCCTCCCCTGATTCTGAACGACATCATACCCCCATACGGGAACCCATGCTCACGCGTTGAAGCGGGGAGCGCACTGTCAATCCATGTTTTTGCGTGGGGAGACAGGCTGGAGTACGCAAGATCGTTACGTGAGTGGGTGGCGAGGCCGGGGTATATGACCTCCTGCACGACGTCCGTGCGCTTCTCGAGCACCCGTGCGATCTTGAGCGCGTTGAGGCCGTGAGCCTTCATGCGCAGGTGAAGAGTTTTGGCGCCGCGCTGGGCGAGCCAGCAATCGTGCGGGCTCGGTACGGCCCCTATGGCGTTTTGGAGGAACTTGAGGTGAGCGTGGAGCGCGTGATGGTGAGGTGGGAGGATGAGGGCACCCATGAGGACGTCAGAATGACCGTTGATGTATTTTGTGAGGGAATGCAGGACGATGTCGGCGCCGAGGAGAAGGGGGGAGGTGTAGAACGGGGAGAGGAAGGTGTTGTCGACGAGGAGGAGAGGTGCGGCAGGGTGCGAGTGGAGGAGCGAGGAGAGGCGTGGGATGTCAATGAGGCGGAGGGTTGGGTTTGTCGGGGATTCGACCCATACAAGCTGTGGAACATTGAGTGGCATCGCAAGAATGCACTGACGGACGGACGGACCTTGGTGTTTGGCCGGATTGCACGCAAAATTGTCTTGTCATCCGCGTTCTCGAGATCCAAAAATGTAGTCTCCACGCCCTGCATTGGACCTGCAACTTTTGTCATATACCTGAACGTCCCGCCATACACGTCGTTGACGCTGACTATATGGGCGTCGGGGCCAAGTGACTGCAAAACTGTGGCTGTCGTTGCGGAGCCCGAGGCAAAAGCGAGTGCGTATGCGCCACCTGCTTCAAGAGACGCGAGGGTCTGTTCAAAGGCATCTCGATTGGGGTTGCCTGAGCGCGAGTATTCAAAGCCCTGGTGGGTGGCGCTGAGCTCTCAGCTAAAATAGATGTAATCACCGAGCTCACCTGATGCACGCCAATGGCGTCCTGCTTATACGTCGTGCTGAGCGAGATGGGAGGAATCACAGCACCCGTCTCCTTGTTTGCAGCAGACCCAACGTGGATCGCGCGAGTGCCAAATCCGAGTAGCTCGCCATGCTTAAGGTTCTTGTTGGGGACGCCGCTGCCCGTAGTCTGTGGGTGGCCATTCACAGCAAGTGAGGGCGACATGATGGTGTAGGAACGAAATGAAAGGCGATCGGGGGTTTATAAAAGCATAAGTAACATATTATAACAGCAGTTGCATTATGGTACGGGGATGATTCAGAATGGCGAAATAATCCGTCTTACTTATCAATCTCGTCACGTGTGCGCTTGGCGTTTGCAAAGGAGCCGTCATGTTTTGTCAGCTGAGACGGCTGTCCTAAATTTACAATCCTTCCGACGATTGCACCCAATATTCCACACCTAACTCCAGTTGACTTCGCGTCGCCCCGCACAAACCTCGCACAACTCTTCCTTCCTACTTCCTTGGGACATGTTAATCCTCAAGTTCCGTGAGTACATCACGAGGCTCTTGTACGGCAGGATCTTGTTTGTTCATATGGATTGTCCGTAACCTTATAACTCTAATTCAAATAGCCCGTGACTGTGACTTTGCTTCGAATCTAGCTCTCCTGAGTGCTTCGACTTCTTTGATAAGATCCCCTCCAGGTGGCGTTCTAGCACAACTCGATCTTTGGAAAGAGTTCCTTGTTATTCATCCAGGTTCCCAATGCGTTATGGTCAATACTACCACTCCTCAACTATCCGTATGCATATCTAGAGACGTTGTTAAACGGCAAATACTTTGATAACGTGCCTTCCTTACGTTCATAAGTATGACAGACTCCATCCTCACCATATGGCAGGAAGCCTTAAGCCTTCCACATGATTACTCTCCAGATTGAAGCGACCAATCACGCCATCACTATTCCCGTTTATCCCCTCAGAGTTGTAAAATCAATGCACTCCATTCAGCCAGAAAGTCAATCAGAGTGGGTGGTGGACAAGAGAGGGGGCAAGTATCCTGTGCTCCTTCTCCCAGTTTTCACCGTTCTCGGATGGATCATGCGTATCATCTCTACCAGGATATCTGTCCGAAAATTTCTTGTTCCATTTGGTATTGAGTTTTTATTTTGCCTTCGCCCGGGGCATTGATTAACTACGGTCATGGGGAACGATTACCTCCATACTTTTATATGACATGGTACATTCGACAATTTAGGTATTCCGCGTCTCTTATGTATCGGATTTATGTAATTCATGTATAAGCCCCGGGTCAGTCAATTGACATTTCCATACATTACACAGGTGCCTTGTGCGGCCGCCGCTACGTCTATGATGATGTGCGTTGTGATTCACTCAAATCATCTCAAGTTTCGGAATATCTATGTATTTATTGAGTACTTTTGGAGCGGAATCTGTGCTGTGTATTGCTTTCTTGTGCTGGCACCCGGTTGAGGCAAGAAAAAGAGTTACACATGTCATGCGTTATTACACTGAAGGGGAATCGAACCCCTGCCGCTTGCTTCAAGGGCAACTTATTATCACCATGGAAGGCAAGCATGATAACCACTTCACCATCAGTGTCATCGTGAAATATACTAATGGAAACCGCCATCTGTCCCTTTACCATAGGTCGAAAATTCTCACCCCTACGTATTGAAACCAAGACTCCTCAAACAACGGATCAATGGCATACCTCATTGAATACGCAAACTGTCGTTTTTCTGATTTGACTTGCTCGCTCTATCGATTGGAGCTCTTCAATGGAGTCAAGGTCTAAAAGGAACCCGTACATAAAGGTCCTCCTATCTTTCACTTACGGAGCCCCCGCAACTCGTTCACGGATGACCATCTCCTATGGCTCTCTTTGCTTCTGGATTTGCACCCTGATAGACTTCTCATGCTCGTAAACAACGGTCATCCTTGCGATGTGTACTTCGCTTCGTCACTCTCTCTGCTATCCTCCTACCGATTGAACTCTGACTCACTGAATGGACCGAAGAATCTGTATTTTCAGATGCAGATGCATGTGGCAAAGTTCTTGGTGCTGGCGAAGGTACTAGATAGGAGTCAATTATGCCCAATATGCTAAGAGAGACGAAACACTCACGCAACGACGTTTACCAGGCCTTCGGCGCTTGGGCTTCGATGCTCCTGTATACCCTGAGATCCCAAGAGGTGTCATCGTGGATTTGAAAAATTGAGAGATTCAACTTCTGGATAATGTTTCTCCATTTGCATCGTGATAGGTCTTTCGAGGAGCAGCAGGCTGGAGCTTCTTCCCGCGGACGAGCGGACTTCCTTTCGAGTGCTCCATGTGTCTACTAGGATACTAGGATAACAACGACGAACGGACGACATATAAAACTCTACATGATCGTTTGCTTGCAGTGAATCATCCTCGTTCTTGCCTTGTATATTATCCAACTCGAATAAACTATGCATTTCTCCAGCCTTTTCGTCCTCTCTTCTCTCATCCTATCTGGTGTTGCCCTCCCAGCTATAAGCGCCGTATATATGCTTGATGACGTGAGACACAAGCTCGACAGTATTACGGCCAAGATCAATGCTTTCCCATCAAGGGGTGGGACATTCGAGGAGGCAATTGTATGTTCTAGTTATTAATAATGATCATAATAATGTAACTTCGCTACTAATACATGCCCGTAGGAAATCCACGGGTCCGGTGTATTGTTGCGTGTCGATATGGGAGAATACACCAGAGATCTATATGTGAGTATCATCTATATGCGATTTCTCGGATCTAGCGTATTTCATCTGATTATGAATTCCAGCGCTTCCATACTTTCGACAAAGCCGAGAGTCAGGACAACATGAAAGCCGCGAAGAGGCTTGAACGTAGTAGTGAAAAATCGCTCGAAGCCATTGCAAAAATGTCCATGCAAATCATGATGTACTGGCTATAATCACTCAAGATGTCGAGGCCGCTGCTTCGGCTTCTGACTCTTTCAATAGGGCGCTGACTGACCGTACCTATGTGTGTACAATCCATGAACCTTAATACGTTACTTCTGAAGGCTGACCGAGACATTCCAGCCACAACTTGTTCCGGAGGCTGAGGCTCTGGGGGACAGACTTGCAAAAAAGTTCACAGCTGCGATTGCAGCTCTCAAGAAGTGAAAAGGGTGTCGGGCCATGAATGTCAACTCTACTTAGCACGCCCTAGTAAATATCTATCATGTCAAATGAGATTCATTATTGTTCGTACGGGAGTGGAACTTGCCACCCCCTCCAAACTCAGTGTGCACTGTGAAGTAGTTCCAAATTGTAACATGATACTACCTATGTACAATAGGTTGGTACACTTGTCAAGAAGCTCAACAGCATTATGATGGTTTTACAACTGGAGCTTTGTGGTCGGTGCATATATTCTGTTAAGAATGTGCATTCCTCTCCATATTCGACGGTGTGGAAGGAGGTTGGTGGTATTGGCATCAAGCATATTAAAACTCCGATTCACACCAATTTTACCGTCGCATCTTTGATATAAACCAATGGTTTCCCACCGAGTATGGAACCATATCCCATTAAGCAGGGACTTAAATAAGCTTGAAACAGTTGAATTATATTATAAATTTGTGATTCTTAATAAATCTAGCCTTACCGTGGTCCGTATATTGATGCTTCACGGCCCTAAATTTGCCGTACCGTGCCCGTGCCGTGCCCGTCGAAGGTTTTGGAATTTATGGTAACCGTGGCCGTGTTTCCACAGTACGGCACTGTTATGGTTGCCGTAAACGTTTCGTGTGTACCCCTAATCACAGAGGGTCGCGAACCAAACCCTTTTGGTACCCATCATGTATCACAACCCAAAACCCCCTCAACATCCACACCTCGATTATTATACTTACACATTGTGTCTTGGTACATACAATCTAGTCTATATCCCTCTGGGAATTGTCATACTTATGCAATTGTACCTAGGTCCTGCTATATAGTCAGGATTCCAACATGTCCCTGTTGAATTTGGGACGAAACGTTCATTGAGATTAGGCCCACAGATACTTGTTCAATCTTGCTTGAGATGGCCAGATGAGAATTTTCTGCAGAAAATCATAATCACACATGTGCGAAATGATCTGATATACACTAAAGCATCTTGTAAAGGAACTATGTATAGTGGTACATCTGATGGATATTGTCTCAGGCTATTGTGTCAACGTTTCCATGTATATCAACTGAGAGGTCTAGAACTTCTCAGAGAACAGAAAATAAGGATCACCATCAGAAAGAAGGATTCGATTTTCACATGAGATGAGTTTAACTCCTCAACACGCGCAAATCATGGAAATCTTTTTTTTTTTGATTGAGTATGTACCCCTGGGAACTCGTAATGACTCGTTGCTAAACTTCAAACGCTCAGCCACCGGCCATTGATGGGTAAAAATAGACGATTGGGACGTGTGACGCGAGGCTGCTGATAGAGCAGATGTCGAGTCACACGGAGAGTTTTGAGTCTCGCGAGTGAGCTGAGTTAAGTCCTAGATTTGCGAGAAAACTGTTATCTACTGACAGATCCCGATCCTTATAAACGAGAGACTTGGGTTATGTAATAAGATAAGAGGAAAAACATAGATAAGGAAAGGTAAGGGGTACGGAGACCAAAAGGAGTGTGTAACTGTCACGTTTTCCCTACATACGCCCTCCAGCCGAGCGAGGAAGTTCGAGAATCGGCTCGTGTTATGAATCATAGCATGGATAAGTGGCTGGTCGGATATAGCACAGAGTAGAATAAAAATTGAGTGTGATGGTAACAGTGTTGGAACCCGCCACGCCCCCCTTTACATGAGAAATCTCCCTCAGAAAGTCATCGGTATCTTCTTCGGCCATGGGAACGTCTCCAACACTGTTGTTGGAGGTTTCAGAGACAGTCGCATCCTTAGACAAGGAGGAGTTGGCGTTGGTATCAGGGTAATTGGGAGCGTTGAACTGGAGGGGCTCCTCTGTGGAAGGGGGAGCAGAGGGCAGAGGGGGTGGAGCCAGGAAAGGTAGTTCGTTCTGGAATCCTGCCCGTCCGAGCGCTGCTTCTCCATAGGCATCGTCGGATAACCCGAAGCCAGGGTCAGTCCAGTTGTACGGATCATAGCTCTTAGAGCCATAGTAATCTTCATCCTGTTGAGCTGTTGCGCGTTCTTCCTCTCGACGCTGATAGTAAGTGTTACGATGGTGGATGTTGTCAAAGGGTTGTTCGAGGGCGATCTGAGTGAGGCGGAGCTTGCGCGCATCAACATCGCTGTTGGGAGTAAGGAGACCGACAGCCACCAATTCTCAATAGCGGTTATGATCGAAGAAATTGGTGTAAATGGATCCCACAATAACGCGATGTTCGGGGAGAATCCATGTACGGGTTTTGGAGTTGTATTCGGCGAGGCGCCACTTGTACTGATCAGCAGGCACGGAATTGAAGAAGTGAACAAAAGGGTGATATCCAATGGGGGGCCTCAGCGCTACCCGTTGTTCTTCAGGTACGTTGTGCACCACTCGTTCAAAGTTGAGGATCAGAGCGGCCTGGTTGGGGTGCAGCATGACACCAGCATCAAAATTGCCATCGCGGGACAGGCGTAACATCATGGAGAGTTTATCCTGTCGGATCCATGGGTGATGGGGCAGGGCATTGGCGTTCCGATCTCCCTTGGGCAGGCCCCGGTGGCCACCCCAAGGTCCGCGAAACCCTCCTCTAGGCATGTTGAATCGAATGCCGGATTCAGCGAGGGAAGGGATGACTGGGGAAGAGCAGAGGGAAATGGGAAAAGTGAGTAGTTTGGTCAGTAGTAGTTCTAAATCGGAATTTATAACTCGCCCTCCCTGCAAACTTCCCAGGAACAACTGAGGATTGTCCCTTGGTGGAACCTCCGTTCCCTCCCGTAATTCCGAAATGTCATCTATTCCCAGTAGGTCAAGGTATGGAGCAATCAATTTGAGATCTGTTACCTGTTCAAAGGAAAGCCAGGTCTTATCTCCTGCCTTCCACAGGACTTCGAACATGGCCTGTTGGCGGACTCCTCAATGCGCCACAATATGATCAGCAGCCCATTATTCAGTTTCCTGTCCAATGATTTGTTCATCTAGTCTTCTGGGGGAGAGCCTATCATCGTTGGGTTTGTGAAACCTGAGGAGAGCGGCATGGAATACATTGTGCACTCCTCGCTGCCGTAAGCTAGCTGGAATCTTGATACGATATAAATTATTACCAAAATCGGCAATGATTGAATATGGCCCCTCGTATTTAGGGATAAGTTTTCGGGCCAAACCCTTGGGGTAAGTTATGTTCTTCATCAATCAGTAAACTAAGTCCCCAATGCAGAAGGGAGATGGGTGGCGCTGACGGTTTGCATCGCACATTTGCCTCACTTGGGCAGCCAAAATGCTATCATGAGCAGCCATTATAGCAGATCATCACCTTTGAACAAATACTCTTACTCCAGGGTATTCTCCAGCAGCCTGATTCCAATTTAACAACCTAGGTATACGTCCTGAGTTCAGAAAAAAAGGGGAATAGCCAGTGCTGTCCAATCTAGCCGAGTTAATTGCAAATTCCACCGCAGGGAGTTTTGAAACCCAAT